CCAGTCCTGAGGGGAGCGTGGCCATGGAGAGATTCTGAGTGTTTCCATCCATACCCTGGTGCAGGGGCCAAGAGCCAGGGGCCAAGAGGGCCAGTTCTTTCTCATCTCAACTGCGTCACTTCCAACCTGTGGGGCTTCAGAAAGGTCCCTTGAATCCTCAGACCTGAAAACCCTCCTCATTTGATTAATGCAATCGGCCCCTTACCTGGGGCGCAGGCTACGTCACCAGCCCCGGTCCTCGCCTGGTGCGGCCAGAACCAGCCAGCACCTCCAGCGCTCCTCGCTCCTCCACTGGTTTGTGACTCTTTACACAAGGAACAGTTCCCACATCCCCACTAGCCAGGACGGTTCAGGTGTGTAATAGGTAATCTGCATCCGTCTGATGAATGAATGGATTAATCAATGGATAAATGAGTGAGTGAGGGAGTGAGTGAGTGAGTGAGTGAATGCCAGGGCGAAATGACTCACTCCTTTACTTGCTTAAATGTGGCCTTCTCAAATTCTCTGACCAAACAGCAACCCCACCGCCCCACCCACTGCCCTCCCCCTTCCCTGACCATGCCCTGCTTCCCCCCACAGCCAAGACCTCCTTCTCACATGCCAGATCGTGTATTTATTTATTTATGACGCTTCTCGTTTTCCGCTGTCTCCCCCTGACAGGCTGTAAACTCCATCCTGTCAGGGATCTTTGAGTAAGTTGCTCACTCGTGTATCCCCAGTGCCTGGGACACAGCAGGCCTGGGTAGGAACATGAGCGAAGGGGTGAATGAGCGAGTGAAGAGATGAGTGGCTAACAGTTCTCAGCCTCCTACAACAGGAGTCACACCCCCCCCAGCGCCTTGCTCAACTGCCCATAGCAAACAGACGCAGGACTAAGGGCTGGGCTGGGCCCTTTCGACCCAGGCCGGCCAAGCAAAACCCACCCCCAGGCCTGCCGGCGTCACTGGGCCATCCTGGCCACTGAGTTTTGTTGTGGGGAGCTGATATAGGGTTAAGCCTCGGACTGACCTGTTGGTCAAGTCACAAACAATTCCCAGCTTAGAGGGCACAGTCCTCTTAGCATAATTAGGCTTTACCTTATGAGGCTCCCTAGATCTTATCTGGGAGCTAATGGGCTGAGGGAAGTGCAGGAAGTGGCCCAAACAAGTGAAACTCACAAGAACTGTGTAACTATGGAGACCACTACCTTGTTTACCTCTCACCATAAAATAAAGGCTCAGCTTGCCTCAGGATCTTTCTCTGTGGCCTCAGCCAGGCACAGGAAAATCCACGTAGACTAAGGAATGCTGACTCTGTCCACACCTTTGGGAACCCCTGGACCGCTGGGGCTGGCCCCCAGCATCTGGCGCCTGAACAGGATTCCCCTAGGTAAGCGCCCCCACACTCTGGACAGATAGGACTCCACCAGGGTGCTGCAGACCCCCCTATAGAGGATAAGTAGGGCAAGAAGGTAGATAGTACAGAACTTAGATTGAGAAGATGTGCCATACTGATTCTAAAGGAAAAAGACTCTGTATTGATCTTTAAACACATATGCTTGCTAGCAGAGGAGTTAAGATTACTCCTAGTCAGACGGAACGTTTTATACAAGTGTGTCTATGCTTTTCTGAGGAAGGAAAGGTGCCGAAAAGGTAAATGTAGAGGCATGGGAGAAGGTAGGCCCAAGGAGCCTTATCCTTAACCCCACTGCAGCCTTCCCACCCCGGGAAAGTGCAGGATTGGAAAGCTCTCCCTGGGGTGATAGATCAGGACTCAGGTAATAGCGGAAAGCGCCAATCCTACTCTTAAAATGGATACAAGAGAGCATTTGGGGTTTTTCTTTTTAATGCCTGTTTTGGATTGAGTAAGTGGATTTTACCTAGTTTTAACATATTAAAGTTAGCTCTTGACACAAAAGGAAAAACTAACAGTTTGGCTCAAAATTGGGGTTTTGTTTTGAGGTGCTGAGGCTCGGGGGTGGAGCCAATTCACGGTAGAAATGTGAAACTGCGGCTTTTGGGGTTGAAGTGGGAAGTTGGGAATACAGAGGAGTATGTATGTTTATATATGGTCATAATTCCATCAGTGTAAACCTTTTCTATAAAAACAAAAAAGGGGGAGAAGAATGTTATATGTTAAATTAAAAAAAAAATACATTGCAGAGGGTTGTACAGCAGCCAAAAGGCATCGGGCCTCCTGTGCAATACCCTCTGCCGACTCAGCCTGGTAGAAGGATACACAAACCAGACAAGAGTTTTACCAGATCTAGTGATGATGTGGGGAAGAGGTTGTGTTTTGTATCTTTCCAGAAGGAGCAGCCTCTGCCTCCCTCCTGGGGACCGTCACCCCTGGGAGGCCGAGTCAGCACACCTGACCAGTGCCCGTCTGCAGCAGATGTGCAGCCCTGAGCTGGAACCACCTGTCCATTGGAAGGATCACATGTGCCTCCTATTTGTCTGTCCTTATGTCCCAGCTTCGCCCCACATCTCCTTTCCTTTTTCTTTTTTTCTTAATCTGACTACTTGTTTGCTGGTTCTTTGGCCTTTCTCCTTCTCTCCTGAACACAGCGTTTTCTAGAATCTCCCTACCCTACTGTTCCAGGAAGGGCACCTCCCTTTTCTGCCGTGACTGGGAGTGTCTGGTATATGCCCCATACGTGGAGTTGTCTTGTACCAAGAGCCTGACATCCTGGGCTGAGAGAGCCCTGTCCCGGGCCCACAGCTGTTGCCTGAGTTCTCTGTTCTTACTGAGGTCATGGTGGCTGGTACCATGGATCTGTCTCTCACCCAATGGTGTGAGCTGGACCCTCCCTGGAGAAGAAACCTGGGTTCCCCAAGATATGTGACCAGAGCCGGGGCCCCGCCAGCAGGCGAGGAGAACCCAAGGCAGGTGCTGGGCGTGGAGGCCACAGGGGCATAGGCTAACAAGGAGACAGGACTGAACCTCACATCACCCTGCTTGGCCCCAGAAGATGGCTGGTTAGCCAAAGACGGGTAAGATTCCTCAGGGAGGAACGACCTAAGACAGGCACAGTTGCAGAGGAGCCAGCAGGAGAGAACTTGGGGGTCAACAGAGGTGGGGCACAGATCCTCACCCCCCCCCCCAATTATGCAGGGGCCTGAACACTCACCCCTTCTGAGGAAGGTCTCCTGCCCCATGGCTGCTTCTCGCTTCCCACGCCCAGCTCAGATCGGGACCCGGATAACAGAAAGAGACTTGGCCCAGCTCAGATCGGGACCCAGGAAAAGACAGAGACTGGCTGACAGCAGCTGCCCACTCACTGCAACAGGACTTGTTTCCCATTTCTACCTTGGACCACAGGGAAAGGGGCAGCTGAAGGAAAGGGCTGTGTCAGGATGCTGCCTTCTTCCTTTCTTCTTCCTCTTTTTTCTAAACACTTCCATGCCTTGTAATTCTTTTTCTTTATCTTTTTTCTCTATACTACCCTCCATCTCCACCTCCTCCTCCCCAGTATCATCCATATCAGCTGACCCAGAGGGCACAGCTGACTCCTCCCCGGACACCGACACCACCATCAAACAAGGCCCTGATGGACCCTTTGATCCAGCCATACAACGCGCTGACACTTCAGGAAGCCCGTCGCCAGCGACGCTGCCCGCTAGCCAGATCAACAAGGACAACCAAACCACCGACTTGGGGTCAGCTGAAGAAGTTAACAACTGAGGCTCAGCAGATGGTAGAAAAGCAAGAAGTGGAAGCTACTCTCTCAGCCAAGTCAGAGGACTCTGAGTAAATCGGCAAAAGAAACTTTCATTTGGTAGAAAAATATTACTGTGGTTTGATTTCTTACTTATTGCTGTTTTGCATTGCCATTGTTTTATTATTCTCACTAGTTTTAAAAATGTTATGTTCAAGTTTTAAAATGTTTTGGGTTTTGCATTGGCATTGTTTTGTTATTGTTTTAATAGCCAGAGTTTTGTTCTTGATGCTTAAGTTTGATGCTTAAGTTTTACTGTCATTATGGTAGCTTAAAAAAAACTCTCATTATAGTAGCTTAAAAAATAAAAGAAGGGTGAGATGTGGGGAGCTGATATAGGGTTAAGCCTCGGACTGACCTGTTGGTCAAGTCACAAACAATTCCCAGCTTAGAGGGCACAGTCCTCTTAGCATAATTAGGCTTTACCTTATGAGGCTCCCTAGATCTTATCTGGGAGCTAATGGGCTGAGGGAGGTGCAGGAAGTGGCCAAAACAAGTGAAACTCACAAGAACTGTGTAACTATGGAAACCACTACCTTGTTTACCTCTCACTATAAAATAAAGGCTCAGCTTGCCTCAGGATCTTTCTCTTGTGGCCTCAGCCAGGCACAGGGAAGATCCACGGAGACTAAAGAAAGCTAGAGAGTTCTGAACGCTGTCTCCGTGTAAAACATTCTTCGCTGACTCCGTCCACACCTTTGGTAACCCCTGGACCCGATGGGGTGGACCCTGGCATTTTGTTGCGGGAGAAATTCTAGCAAGGTAGTTTAAGGGGCCTGCGACGGATGGCGGATCTGGGATTGAACTGGGATTTGCTTTTCTGGGCCCCCTCTCAGAAGCGACTAGCCAGCCCCCAGCTCTGGGAGGCTCATTCTCCTGTGGTGGTAGGAATTCAGAGCCCGGTGCCCCAGGAGCCGCGTGTGAGACATCGGTGGGTGCTGGAGAGGGAATGCGCACCGGGCTCCGCAAGTGGCGGGTGTCCGGGATAACGCCACCTCCGGAGCCCGCGCCGCGCCCCCGCCCCTCCCCATCCTCGGCCACGCTGTCACTCTCCATTAGTGCTAACAGGCTCCAGACGAAGCGGCCCGGCTCGGGGTTAATGCAATCGGCGCGTTACCTGGGGCGCAGGCTACATTACCAGCCTGGTCCCCGCCCCGCACGGCCAGAACCAACAGCCTGCGCCCCACCGGCCGCCCCGCGTCTCCTGCGCTCCCGGAGCGCCACGCGGCGGAACTTGGCCCCGGCCGGCGCCCCACAGCCTAGGAAGCGAGGCGGGTCCCGGGCGGGCGCGCAGGGCGCACGGCATCCGGGATCCCGTCGCTGCCAGACACGTGAGTGCGCCCCGCTCGGGACCCGCTGGATGGGCCGGGGAGACCCAGGCTGGGGCGCGCGGAGCTAGAGCGCCAGCGACTTGGACGTGCGGAGGTGCGCGCGTCCGGGGAGGCTCCCGGGGCTGGGGGTGGTGGCGCGGCCAGAGCTGGGGGGAAGAGGGCACAGCCAGCGGCACCGGGCGGGTCACCGCCCTAGGAAACCTCTGCTTTTGGCGCGTCCAAACCCCATCATCTGGGACCGAGAGGGGGCGGCCGAAAGAGGGAAGGGCTGCCCGGTCCTAAGCCGGACCTACAGGGCGGGCAGGAGCGGTCTCCGCCTCCGAGTTCCGGGACAGCCCCCCGCGCCACCACCTCTGTTTCCAAATTGTCCCAACAGACGCGCGCCCTTTCCTGGGCGCCCGCGTCTGCCCAGCGCACCCTGAGCGAGGTGTCCCCGGCGATCTCGGGCGGCATCGGGAGGCGAATGGCCCCGTGACAACATCTTTTCCTTTTTTCCGCGCAGCGCCTCCCAGGACCGCCGACGGCCCGGCCGCCCGCCGCAGCCATGCTCCTGGCGCGGATGAACCCGCAGGTGCAGCCGGAGAGCAGCGGGGCGGACCCCGAGGCCGCGCAGCCCCTGCAGGCGCGCAAAGCCGCGGAGCTGCTGGTGGTGAAGGAGCGCAACGGGGTGCAGTGCCTGCTGGCGTCCCGCCGGAGCGAGGAGCCGCCCCGGGAGACCTGGGGCAAGAAGATCGACTTCCTGCTGTCGGTGGTGGGCTTCGCGGTGGACCTGGCCAACGTGTGGCGGTTCCCGTACCTCTGCTACAAGAACGGCGGCGGTGAGCCCCGCGGGCCGGGGGTGTGGACTGGGGGACGCTGCCTGTGCAGCAGTGGCTGGGAGAGGGCCTGGGATACACACCCAGGGGAAGAGGAAGCGCACGGGCAAGTTTGGGGCGCAGGCAGGGACCCGGCAGGGCTCACAGAAAAAGCGTTGGAGTTCCCGGTGGAAGAGGGAAATTGAGGCATGAACTTGGACAGTGACCAGCGCTTGGCTGGAAGGAGGGGATCGGGCACAGGTTGGGTGAGGACCCCTGACGTTTGATGGTCCGCAGGAAGGGGGTGGAGATTTGGAAAGCTCTGGAAGGGGCACCAAAGTGCACAGCAGGTGACAGCCAGGCACAGGGGGTCCCTAAACCCAGCACCCCCAGCTTGAGAGAGGACCGGGCTTCCTGCATTCCGGGGACAAAGAGAACCCCACTCACAGGTGGTGTTGTTTGGCTGGAGGGGCCAGAGGGCACAGGCCAGGAGGGATTGGGGACTGGGATGGGGTCCTGGCACCATGGCAGTGTGGAGGAGGCCCGGGGCCTGGGAATACAGCCAGGCTCTCTCCTCCTGCTCTGTGCTGGGGGACATACCCCCCGCCCTGGGCTGAGAGCCTAGAGACGAACTGCAGCCCCACACAGGATACCGGGGCCTTTGCTCCTCGGTGCCCAAACCACTCGTCCTGCCCCTTTGGCTGGGATGAGCTAAGGGGTGCCCTGCAGAAAGCCCGGGGGAAATGACGTAGAGGCAGAAGTCGGTGCAGGGGGACCCAGGTCTGGAAACCTCTCTATCCACTGGACCATCCTGCCTGGCAGGGACGCTGGCTCAGGACTCCAGGGGGCCCGAGGGGGGCAGGGAGAGGGTTGTGAACTGGGCGTGAGGGCCCGGGACCCCGCTGTTTGCTTCAGTGCATGCGCTAGACACTTGCTTGTCGCTCTGGGTGGGAAATGGGACACATGATGCAGACAGAGGTGAACACTTTTGCATGTTGGGCTGCTGGGGGTTTAAGCCCAGGGCCCTTCAGACCCAAGGAGGGAGGACCTGCAGATCCCACGCCGTTTCAGCAGGGACTTGATGAATGAAGGGCAGACTGAGAGACCCTAGACCAGTGGTCAGCAAACTGCAGCTTGGCAAACCTCGGCTCGCGAGCCACATGCGGCTCTTTGGCCCCTTGAGTGTGGCTCTTCCACAAAATACCGACTTCTGCTCATGGGCCATGAAGTTTCAATCGCACTGTATGTGCGTGCCCGCACGTGGTATTTTGTGGAAGAGCCACATTCAAGGGGCCAAAGAGCCGCATGTGGCTCACGAGCCACGGTTTGCCGACCACTGCCCTAGACCGCGCCATCCAGCATGACCTCACGCTTGTCCCTGGGCAGCGGAAGGCTCCACCATGAATCAGCAATCTCGATGGGTTCTTCCCAGGGAGCCCCAGTGCTAGGCTCCGTTGGGTCCTCCAGATCACTCCCTCTCCCCGCCTGCCTGCCAGGAGCTGTAGCCGCTAAGGGCTTCGCTGCCACAAGTTGTTCTCATTGTTCTAAGTGTGGAAACCGAAAGCAGCCTGGGTCTGGGTGGCCAGGTGGACATATTGGCTGGATGGACATTCTGGAACTTTCCCTGGCTCGTGTGTGCACTTGGCTGTGGCCACCAGCACAGAGACAGTGCCCGCCGTGTGCAAGGTGGCATGCCAGGTGCCCTGGGCACAAGATGGAGCACAGATTCCCATCTTATAAAAATATTTTTTTTATTGATTTCAGAGAAGAAGGGAGAGGGAGAGAGAGATAGAAACATCAGTGATGAGAGAGAATCATTGATCGGCTGCCTCCTGCATGCCCCACACTGGGGATCAAGTTCACAACCTGGGCATGTGCCCCGACTGGGAATCGAACCGTGATCTCCTGGCTCATGGGTTGACAATCAACCACTGAGCCACACTGGCCGGCAGGTTCCCATGTTGAAGGGACGTGATCGGGAAGCCCCTCGCCTAGGCTGGCTAGCCCTGCCCACAGCCCATCCTGACTTGTTTGGTCGTTTGTCTGTTGACACCTTGAGAGCAGAGACCGTGGTTTGTGTATTTCCAACGCCCGAGATAAGGCCTAGATGCCAGGACTGTGGTAGAAGGTGCCCAGCAAACGTCTGTGGGATGAACGCGTTCATACGAGGACCTTACGCCTCTCCAGGAGGAGCAGACCCGCTGGTGGTACCTCACAAGTGAGACACCGCTGGGGCTGGGGCGAGATCAGGAGCCGGGTGCTAACGCCCAGCTATGTGCCTTTGGGGGACGCAGCCAGCCTCCGTCTCCTCATCTGTCAAGTGGAAACCATGGTGCTCAACTCAGAGCTTGTTGTGAGAACGGAGTGCACCCCGGGGAGCCAGGCAGGGAGGATGGCCCCCCGTCCAGGTCACGGTGCCTCCTCGTTGACATCCTCACGATGACCTGGGAGATGGATGGGGGGGCAAGCACTGCTGCGGGAAGCCTGGAGGTGGGGGGCTGTGGGTGGCGCTCAGCTTCTGGGAACGGGAGGGGCATGGTCCAGCCTTGGGGGGTAGAAGGAGATATTCTAGTTGATGGTGAATGCAAGTGGGGTCACTCAGAGACGCGGTGTGAAGGCTGAAGGACAAGATGGGAGCAGAAAGGGTGGAGAGGCAAGTCGGGGCCTGGCTGTGGAGACCTCGGGCCCCAGGCTAGGGTGGGGAGGCATCACCCGTGAATTTCCGTGTCTGGCTAGGATGCCCCTGGTTGGCACAATGCAGCAGGGCAGCTGCCGTCTCCGAGCCCAAGATGGCTCCTTTTCTAACTTACTCCTCACCCAGCTCTGTTACCCCGGGCGTGGCCCTGCCCCTCTCTGAGCCCAGGTTCCCCACTGCCGCTGGAGGTGAGCTCAGAGGACCCTCCCAAGGTCCACTCCTCTCCTGGCCCAGCGCTGTGCTCCAGCCCGGATTCACCGCCCTGTTCGGTGCTGGGATTAACACGGTAACTCTCCGAGGCCAGTGGTCCGTGGCGTCTCAGACAGAAGGCCACTGTGATATGATAGAGGTGCTGTAGGTCAGGCCCCTGGCTACTATCTCCTGCATGACCTGCTCCAGCCACCTTCCTGTGGGCCAGCTGCTGGAGTACAGGTGTGTGGGAGGCTTCCGGTTGGGGAAAGGCACTCTAGAACATTCCAGGGCCCCATCACAACCTTCTCCAGCAGGGAGGCAGTGGGGCTGTCTCCAGGGTTCTCCATCCCCCCTCGGCACCTGTGGGCTTGGGCGTGGCCTGTTCCCGGGGGAGGACGAGGCCACTGGGAACCATCCTTTGCAAGCGGCTGCTTCCGTGTGACAGGTCGTGCCGACGGCTCTGTAGGTTCAGACAGACCTGGGTCTGAACCCGGGCCTGACATTTCTGGGAGATGTGGCTTTGGACAAGTCCCTCGCCCGCTCTGGACCTCAGGTTCCTTGTGAAGAAAAGCAGAGGAGCTGGGCCTCCCTGTCGATGAGGTGTCAAGACAGAGAATATATACACAGGACGCCCCACACCGTGTAGGAGCTCGGTAAACGGAGTTGTTACTCTTAGTGTTATTGGTCAGTGATTTCTAACCACGGGCTGGACCCAGGAGTAGGGCAGGGTCCTGCCTTTGGAGGGAGCAGAGCTGATTCTAAGAGGACATAGGCGAAGGGAAACTGATGGGAGTAGTCATGCTTGGGCCTGGGGAATTATTCATTATTCATTAAGAATGGAGGCTGGGCGTCGCTCTGTATTCCGACAGCCGAACCCTGTCTCGCTGTCGTCTCCTCGCCCGGAGAATGGGGACTAACGTTCCCTCCACCATTCATGGGGCCCCATGGGGTCCTGGGTCCCAAATGGGGTTCCCCTCCTTTCCCAAGTAAGTTCCAGGTCTCGGGTACCCACAGCCCCATAGGGACTCTCTTGGCCAAAATAGCGGGGGTTGTTGAGGCCAGGCAGGAGGTGGTGGCCGGTGCCGGGGGCAGCAGTTTGCAAACTCAATGCCCTCACGGCTGGCCTGGCCGTCAGGGTGCTGCCTGCACCCGGAGCTCGGCAAGCCAAGTTCAGTTCAGATGCCCACGAGCCAGCCAGCTGGGGTGGCCCTTCGTCTGACAGGTGTGCAGCAATGAGACGGGCACTGGGGGCTGGAGCTGGGACCTGGGGTCAAGGTCACCACCATGATTTGGCCCGTGGCTCTGAGCTGGCCCAAACATCTAGAGGGGCCCTTCCCAGCAAGATGGGATTTCACGGGGATCAATGTGACCTCCTACCCTGCGGTCCCAAACCCAACTGCCTAGGTCACCGCGTGAGGGGAGAAAGGCCCGGGGCTTTCATTAGCTGCGGGTAAGTCACTGTTGGCATCCGTTTATTTAACCAAAAAGCATTTACAAAAAGAATGCCCATCATGTGCCGGGAATATCAAGATGATGGCCTGCAGTCCAGTTCTGACATTGTCTACTCGCTGTGAGTGGGGAACCCCACAAGGCCGTCACACTTCAGGTCCCCGTCGCTAACCGGCTGCGAATCGGGGCTTCCCACCGTCCCATCTTCAGATTTGATCATTTGCTTGAACAGCTCAGAGAACCCAGTAAAAACCATGTATTTACATTTACCAGTTTATTAGAAAGGAGACCGATGAGCCGCCAGATAAAGAGGTACATGGAGTGAGGTCTGGAAGGACCCCAAGTACTGCAGCTTCTGTCCCCAGGAAGTCGGGGTGCGCCAACCCCTGGCATGTGGACATGTCCGCCCACCTGGGAGTCCTCCCAGCTCTGTCGTTTGGGGTTTCTGTGGCGGCTTCATCACCCAGACGTGGTCCCTATTCCGTCCATCGCCCACCCGTCTCCTCCCCAGGGGCTGGGGGGCGGCTGAAAGCCCCAAATCTTCTAATCAGGGCTTAGTCTGTCTGGCGGACCGTCACCATGCAGCAGCCCCCCGAGCCATTTCACCAGAACAAGAGACGCTGCTACCCCCAGAAAATTCCAGGGGGCCTGGGAGCTCTGTGTTAGGCCTTCCTGTTACCCACATCTCGGGAGAGAGTACAAGGGATTTGGGAGCTGTGTGTCAAGAACACAGAGCGGAGAGCAAATACATACATTTCTTATTATGTCACAGGGGCCTGCCCTGGGCCCTGGGCCAGAGAAAGCCCCCCCCCCCCGAACCCCCTGCTCTCCCCTCCTACTCCTCTCACTGCGGTCAGAGCCAGGCGGGCCGGCCCACCCAGAACACTGCCTCCCGACCCACCACACCCAGGTACCAGGACCTTGGACTTCCCTGCCCAGGCACCCCACCCCCTCCGGCTCCCCATGGCCCTTTTGCCTGGCTCCTTCGCAACATGGACTGTGCGAGACGCTGGCTCAGCCCCAGGCCCGAGGGGAGGCTGGGGCCCACTCTCTGCAGAGGCTGTAGCCTGGCGCCTCTCTGGTTGGAGCTGAGATGGGGTAAAGGGGGAGCCGGGCAAACGGGGCTCCCCCGTGCCGCCACTTTCCAGGGCGGAGACCTACGGAGAGCTGCGGGCTCCAAACTGGAACTTCACACTCGCCCCATGGCCAAGGGCTGGTCATCAAGACAGGAGGGGAGAGCGTGTTTCATTTAGCAGCTGTGGCCTGGCGCGTCCTCTTGAATCTGTAGCCGGGAGAGCCTTTGTCCCCCCAGCAGGGGCCCGGCCACCAGCTGGGAGCAGCTCTGTCTTCTCTTGTTACCTTACTCCCCTTGCCCTTGGCCTTCACTGTGCCCTGGGGATGTGTGCGGAGCGGGAGAACCCAGCTGCCCTCGGCACTGACCCGGGTTTTGTTGGGACTCTCGTGAAAGCCTTGGGCAGAGGCAACCGGGGAGCAGGGCTGCGGGCACCCGGGCGCCCGGAGAACAGCTCTGTGGGTGGGTTGCTCCTCCATATACGAAGGTGTGGCTGGAAGTCAGTTCGGGGAATCGTGCCCTCAGTAGTCTGGGAAGCTGGTCCAGCTAGGTCTCAGGGGACCCTCCTCTCCTTCCCGCAGCCCCTCCCCGGCCCCCTGCTGCCCCCCTCCCTGGGGCCTGCATGAAAGGGAAGGTCTGTATTTACAGAAGTTTGGCACAGACCCACCTGTGGCCTCCTGGAGCTTCACAGTGCGCTTGTGTGTCGAAGGCTGGGAGGGTCCTGCGGGAAACACATCTGTGTAGCTTGGATTAACCCAGATTTTACTCAATGTGATGACAGACGCTCGTTATGATATTACCACGGCCACTACGGTTGTGATTGCCGTTGTGATGATTTGCACTAATCGCCCTGCGTATCCCCTGTGTGCCTGCCACACCAGCCCCCTCGGGGAGTGGCGGGGTGGGCGGAGAAATGAGGACCTCGCAGCTCTGGGCCCTGGCGCTCTGCGGGGCAGGCCCGGGCTGGGCCGGGGCCTGTGGGGTCAGGCTCCGCCTCTGTGTCCCGCAGGTGCCTTCCTGATCCCGTACACGCTGTTCCTCATCATCGCTGGGATGCCCCTCTTCTACATGGAGCTGGCTCTGGGCCAGTTCAACCGGGAAGGGGCAGCCACGGTGTGGAAGATCTGCCCGTTCTTCAAAGGTAAAAGATGGGGTGGGGCCGCCCGAGGTTGACCAGAAACACTTGTGTGGCGCCCCCGAGGAATCTGCCCCAGGGGGAATCCGAGGCAGACACCTCTCCTGTGGGATCCGGTGCGCGTCCACTGTGCACAGTTACCTGGAGGGCATTGGGTGTTTCAGGAGTAGCTTTGGCCTAGAGCAGGGGTGGGCAACCTTTTTGTGAGTGCGTGCCAAAACCAGCAAAATCTCTGACTCAAAATTCTTCTGTGTGCCAACCCTAATTTTTTGAGAACCTGTTACACCTACTTGATATCTCTTAAGGTGTATGTATGTGAAGAACCTTGAAGAAATAATAAAATTCATTCGAGCGACAAAAAACAGTATATGATGATGAAAAATACATTTGTTTTTTAATGTATACATGTACACTGATAGTCCGACAGAAAACTTTATGACTCCATTTGATATTATCAGTGGGACTTTTGCTGCTGCATCACTGATGACAGAGATCTTACATCAGGTTTATATTTCGTGGCCTTCAGAGATAGGCACGAGCTACTACTTTCATCCGTCAGGCTACTCCTATTACGAGACTTAACAAAATTCATCACTGAGAACAAAGATTCACAACTGTAAATGGAAGATTATAAGAGAGGGTTTCGCGTGCCAGCAAGAGTTACTGGCGTGCCATGTTTGGCACGCGTGCCAGGGGTTGCCCACCGCTGGCCTAGAGAGTCTACAAACCCGACTTCTCAATCCAGCCGAGTGACGAGAGGAGGGTGCCTCTTTTGGGAAATGCAGACGTGTCAGAGGTACCCAGCACCGCTCGCTACTCTCCCTGCCCTGGTAAATGGGTACATTGATCACAGATCCTTCCGGGCTCAGCCAGCAAGCTGCCTCGCAGTCCTTACCACAACAGCCACAACGAGTGGATCGCAGCTGGGATAGAAGAGGAAGCCCGCTTGCCTCTGGGACTTAGGGCACATCTGGAGGAAGCCGCCACAGCAACTGCCATTTCATGGCCCCTCTGACGCTGTGGGAAGGACGTGGAGGAAGAATCAGTGTCTCCCGCGCACAGCTGAGGGAGCTGGGCCCAGGGGCACCGGGCACCAGTGTGACTCCTACGAGCCTCTTCTCCGTTGCCGTGTGTCTCCGAGTGCCTCCTGTGTGCTCTGTCCTGTAGGTGACACAGGCTGGCACAAGACGCTTACAAGACATGAGTGTATTCCTTAGGAACTATTCTCTTCTTTCCAGAAACCCCACTCCAAGTGGCTCGACTATAAAAGAGAATGTATTGGCTGATGATATGGTAAAGTCCAGGAATTTCTGGCTAGCTTCAGGTACAGCTTGATCCAGGTTCTTGAATAATTTATCTGGAGCCTCTCCCGTTCCTTCTCAAGTCTTTTTCATCAGCGTTAGCATCACTCTCAGGCACACTCTCCCTAAACACGGACGAAGCTGGCCATCAGCAACAAGATTAAATGCCACCAAGTTGAACAGTGACAAAATCAAACAAAAACATCCTTATGTCATCATAGCTTTAGTCAAGGTCCCAGAAAGGACTCTCATTGGCTTGACGTGAGTCATGTGCTCACCTACCAGCCAATCACTGTGGCTGTGGGGAAGCAGAGCTCTGATTGGCCAGGCCTGAGTCCTGTGCCTACAGCTACAAGAAGAGAGTAAGGGATGAGCCTCATCAAGCCTTATAAGATAAGAATGCTTACGGCTTCTCTCTTAAGCCATGCTGAGCAGGCAAAAAACCCGGCTACGGGGGACAAGGGCCATAGAAGTAGCCCTGTAGGAGCTCCTGATACGTTCAGGAAGGTGAGGTTGGCACATCACGCAGGCGCTTGCAAACAGGACCCCGAGAAGACAGGAGCTGAAGTTCTGACCAGCGAGGGTTGGTTTGTGGGTCCCCAGAAGCAGGTCCTGAGACAAGGGCTTCCATGTAAGGAGTTATTTGGGGAGGTGATCCCAGAAACCCCACTAGGGGAGAGGGGAGGGGAGGCAGGCAACAAGCCAGCCCCACCGCGGGCCCAGGGATCATCCCCACGCCTCAGTGTTCTCCTGCCCAAGGCGAGGGAGCTGGGGCACTTGGGCTCCAGTGGGGACATTAAGGTCCTGGCACACCTGGCCTGCCCGATGTGCGGGCCTAGGGGACTCCATGGGCCAGAGAGAGCCCTCGGGCAAAGGGGTGGTGGGTGCCTAGGAGATACAGATGGGGCTGTGACAATGCGACAGAAAAGAAAGGTGTGGGTCGGGTGGTGCAGTGGTTGGAGTCGGCCCCCCAGAAGAGCTGGCTCTGGGCCGGGCCTGGGGGAACCCTGCTGAGCCCCTCTGCCCCCCACCCAGGAGTCGGCTACGCTGTGATCCTCATCGCCCTCTATGTCGGCTTCTACTACAACGTCATCATCGCCTGGTCCCTCTACTACCTCTTCTCCTCGTTCACCTTCCACCTGCCCTGGACCGACTGCGGCCACCCCTGGAACAGCCCCAACTGCACCGACCCCAAGCTCCTCAACGCCTCCATGCTGGGCAACCACACCAAGTACTCCAAGTACAAGTTCACGCCGGCCGCAGAGTTTTACGAGTGAGTCCTCCACCCTCGTCCTGTCCCCTGTGCTGGGCGGACCGGAGCCAAACGCTCAGGAAAACCACAGGGGGAGGGGGGCACGCTGGTCATCCTTTGTGAGGGGCACTGCCCTGGGGCTAGGAGCTGAGGGTACAGCCCTGGACAAGGCAGTGGAAGGAGCTTGGGTTCTGGTGCAGGAGAGTGGGGGTGGGGAGACAGTCCTTGTACACGTCCCCCAGGCCCCGCTGTGAGCAGAATATAGCGGGAAAAGATGACACCCGTCAGCGCGGGGCTGAGTGGAAGCAGAATCTCAGGCTATTTTAGCAGCTTTCTGCTCTGCGGACTTCCCCTTCCCTCCCCCGCCCTCCCCTCTCTTGTTAAACCCCTGCCCCCAAGCTTCATAGCTACCATGAGCCAGGCACCAAGCATCCCTTCCCATCCAAGGCCCATTGAGTCTTCGCAGTTCATGTTGGTGGTAGTTATTCCCATTTCACAGATAAGAATGTGGAGGCCCAGTTTTTAGGTAAGAGGCAGAGCTGGGACCAGAACCCAGGTTGTCTGCGTCAAGGCCCTCACCCCGTGCACGGGCCTCCCTCCTGCCCTCCTCGTCCTGTCATCGGGGTGTATTGGGGGCAGGTGTGCAGGACCCTGTGGGGTGACAGAGTCCATCCCGCGCCTCCCTTTCTCACCTGGAGCCTCCTTTCGTGAGCTCCCAAGTCACCAAGCCACGGCTGCCTCTGCATTTTTTTTTAATGGCACATGGCCCTGTTAGCCAGATGTTTCTGCTTTAAAAGTCATCCCAGCTCCGTCTGGGGACCAGCAAGCAGGACTCGGAGTGCCAACCCTGAGGAGGTTAGTGGTTGCTCTTTCCTCAGCATCTACTGGCCAGCGCTGTTGCCATCTTGTGCTCATTGAAGCTGAGGGATTGCACCGATCATCCAAGGAAACAAAACCGCTATTCTCTGCAGGCTCCGCGCCCGCAGCCAGACAGCCGGCAGCTAAAAGCAACCCTGAGGCTCAGACCTTCCTCTGTCAGAGGGCGCCCTTGGGGAGCACGCCGGGCAACCGAGAACTCTCCCCCTCCGCCCTACCACCCACCAACACCCGCACTTAAATGTCAAGTGAGAAACGAAGCCCATTTGGCCCGCAGACTGGAAAGCCTGGACCGCGTACTTCCCGATTCACTTTCATTAACTTTCTGGAAAAAAGGCAACAAACCCAAGCAACATGTGCTAACAGCCCCCAAGGCCTGGGCCTGCTGGGGAGCAGGGTGTGGGCAGGGGGGTGTTTGCATTCCTTCCCTGGGGAATCAGCTCAGAGTCTAGCCTTTTATCCCAGGGGCCTGGCAGGGGGCATTTCTGCCACCTGATTGGAGGCTAGAGGCATTCAACACTTAGCCAATTCGAAGCAGAATGAAGTCAGATGGGTCCAGCTGCTGATTCTGGGTCTGTCAGCCATCCTCCCCTTTTTATATCCGCCCCCCCCCCTCTCTCTCTCCATAGGAAAGGGGCCTAAGTCAGGGCATCATTTCTGAGTTGAGACCAGCAGGATGAGAAGTTTGCCAAGCAGACAAATTGGGCTGGGAAGCGTGTTCTGGCCCAAAGCGCTGAGCGCCTAATGTGATTAGGGGATGACAACTGGCTGGCCACTGCCAGGAGCCACAGGCAGGGTGTGGTGAGGGAGGGGCTGCCCTGGACCCGGGCCCACTGCGAAAGGCCTTGGATTCTGAAAGGCTGAGATTTTTGTGCTGCAGACGAGGATTTCGAAAACTCGAGACTTTTGACATTTGGGGCTGCATCACTTTATGTTGGGGGCGGCGGGGAGGACCATGCTGGGCACGTTGGGTGTGTAGCAGCATCCCTGGCCTCTGCCCACTAGATACTGATGGGCAGTCTCCCATGTGACTTGCTGGTCCCATAGGGCAGCCATAGGGCAGTCCTGGGCACAGGCTGGGATGGACAGAACAGTCCCCGATGGTGCGGGGCTGTGGCCAGGCAGCCAGGGCCCGTCTCCCTCACTGTGCACCTTCGGGCTGGCCAGTGGCCCAGGCCTTGGGTGTCCTCCCTGACCGATGGCGTCTTCCCTGGCCCCGTCCCCGTCCTCCTGGCAGGCGCGGCGTCCTGCACCTCCACGAGAGCGGCGGCATCCACGACATCGGCCTGCCCCAGTGGCAGCTCTTGCTCTGCCTGATGGTGGTGGTCGTCGTCCTGTTTTTCAGCCTCTGGAAAGGTGTGAAGACGTCAGGAAAGGTAACGCCTCTGTTTTGCGTTCAGTCGGCCTCAAAACAATTCATTTTTTCTCGCTGCAACTGTTAGTCGGTGAAAAGAAAAGGTGGAACAGGACGCACAAAGCCTGGGTTTGCTCCCAGCTCCGCCCCTGTCTCCCTGGGAGACCTCGGACAAGTCCCTTCCCTTCCCCAAGCCCCGGCTCCCCAACAGGAGGGGGGGGGGGCTCCAAGCAGACCAGGGCTCCCACACGTTTCCACCCAAGCTCCTTTCAGGGACTTGGGGACGGGACACCCCAAGGGCCTTGGGGACAAGCCCGTTGGTTGCCGGCCACAAAAAGCGACCTGTTGACCTGTGTTTGATGGACCTTGAATTCTGGCCTGACGCTTCATGCACATGTTCCCTCCTACTTTGGCACATGGCCATGGCTTCGCTATAAAGCCAGTCATTCCCCCTTCTGAGTTTTTTAGTAAAAGAGAATGCTCTACCTTCCTAATGCTGCGACCCTTTCATACAGTTCCTCATGTTGTGGTGACCCCCAACCATAAAATTATTTTCGTTGCTACTTCATCACTGTAATTTTGCTACTGTTAGGAATCATAATGTAAGTATCTGATATGCAGGTTGTATTTTCATTGTTACAAATTGAACATAATGAAAGCATATTGATTAATCACAAAAACAATATGTAATTATATGTGTGTTTTCCAATGGTCTTAGGCGACCCCTGTGAAAGGGTCGTTCGACCCCCAAAGGGGTCGCGACCCACAGGTTGAGAACCGCTGGGCTAGTTAGTAACAGTGCATTGCACACAGTATAAAGGAAGTGCTGCCTGGCGGACTTGGTGTTTTAGCAGAGCAGCTATATGTCTACGTGTATTTTGTCTCAACACAGAAGGTATTTCGTACCATGAGGCCTCATGGTCACAGAAATGTAAGAGGCTGCATCAGTGGAGGAAGGAAATTCTTTCTACCGAGAGGGTCTGCAAAGACCCCGGGGAAGGTGGCGTCTGGGCTGGGTCTCTAGGGACAGGTGTAGGTGGAGACAGGGTAGAGGGAAGGGGTTTTCAATGGGTGGAACAGCCTGAGCAAAGGCAGAGGTGCGGAGGTCCAGGCTGGCCTTGTTCGGCCTCTCAGTGCCTTTCCTGGGCAGCAGGGGAAGGGCTGTCCTGGCCTCCGCAGGTGGAAGAGCTGAAGGTGTAGGAGCCTCACTATTGCCGCTGGCCTGGGGGGTGGGCGGGGCGGCACCCCAGGCTTCTAACGCTGCATTGCACCCCCGTAGATTAAGTTCCCTCCAGCCATGCCGGAGGGGTAGGGCCTGCCCCACCCAGTTTAGCACTTGGCCAGGGCGGAGCGTGAGTTGTCTGCAGGGAGAGTGATGCTGAAGGGAGGAGGAGCTGAGCGTGCTCGGTCCCTCTCCGCAAAGGGACCTCCGGAGGAGTCATCACCCCGGTGGGAGTCACGAGGGGTGGCTCCCGAGAAGCCCCCCACGTGGAAACACGTCAACAGAAGCCACAGTCCCCATTTGCGTCAGGGCCCCAGCCTGTGGGGAGGGACTGCACACAGGATATTCCCGTGCCTTGTCTCTAATTGTTTTCATAAACCTCTGGCTCCGGAGACAAACAAGAGCGAGCGTTGCTTATTCCTTCCAGATTGCTTCTGGAACAGGACTGAGAGCTTTCCGTAGCTCCCCCACAGCACAGAGCAGCCCGAAATGAATTGCACATGTTCACACTTCCTGCCTTGGCACGTGCAAGCTCCGTGCCTGGGAAGATGTGTGCTCCATTGCCCGCATGTGGGACGGTGGGGGGAGGGTGCCCTCTGATCCAGGGAAAGAGGTTCCCCCAGACCACACACTCGGTGACCTTGACCCATGGGCCACCTCAGGGCAGAGGGTGGAGGTCTGAGTCAGGAGGTAGCCCCCAGGGAGCCGGGCTGGCCATCCGGGGTCCTGCCTGCCTCCCCATCTCACAGCCCTTGGCTGACCTGGCTCTTTGCAGCCACAAGCCTAGGAAGCCGGCACCAAATGTGGACCTAGAAGATACTTAGGGGCCACCTGTGCCCATCTGCTTGTAGAAATGGGGAAATGGGGGTCGAGAGAGGGACGGGGGGTTCAGAGCGATCCTTAGCAGGGCCAGAGTGAAACCTGGGTCTCAGATATACAGCTGAGTGAGTGATTGAGCACGTGGCCTGGTGGTCAGACC